AGGGGACCCACGGGAGTGTGCAGGGTGGGCAACCCCTGGGGTGGAAGCTTGGAGGACTCCCTGGAGGAGGGGACCCACGGGAGTGTGCAGGGTGGACAACCCCTAGGGTGGAAGCTTGTATGAAGGACACAGGGGCAGGAGCAAGACCAGCACAGCTGCGGGTTCTGCTTAGCACCAGGCCAGGGCGTGGATGTTGTTCTGAGGCCTGGAGGGTGGAGAAGGGGGCCTGGCTCCACCCCGTGTGCCAGCCCCCGGGTGCTGAGGCAGGAGGTCTAGTGACGGGTGTGGGTGGGAGCAGACTTGGTGACTAAGAGCCCACCACGGTCCTGGCTGGGCCCCGGGGGCACAGGGCTGCAGGAAGAAGATGCTGAGGTCAAGGTGTGGAGTTGAGGCTCCATGGGGGCTGCTGGGGGCCCTTATGTAGGAGCCGCCACTCGGGTCGCCCTCCCAGGGCCTGTGCGTGTCCTGGGAATGCTGTGCTGTGGAGAGGGCGGGCCCCAGGCGCGGGCAGGAGCAGGGGTGCAGAACACAGGGCTGAGGACACCAGGACGGGCAGGGCGAGGGCAGAGAGCCCATAGAGGGTGAAGGCAGGATGCCCAGGGGCCACCAGGGAGGGCCACCACCCCTGCAGGGGCTGAGGCCTGGGCAGCACCCAGGGAGCACCAGGGAGGCAGCAGGTGGGAATACGCAGGGTAGGGGCAGGGGATGGGCGGGCTAGGCTGGACTCCTAGGTGGCAGCTGAGCAGGACACTCCTGGGTGGGGATGGAGGGCGATGAGGGTGGGCCTGGGAGGCGTGAGGATGGGGACCTTGAGATGAGGGCTGGGATGCTCAGAGGGCGGTGTCCAGCCAGACAGGCACCGCTGCCAGCGGGGGTGAGTGTGGGGTGGAGGCAGCCTCCGCTGAGACCTCCAAACTCAGCTCAGCCCTTCCCAGCTGGAAACCCCGGACCAGGGGTTCCACTTGGCGACCCTCAGTTTTCCCAGCTGCACACTGGGTTCAGAGCTCCTCTCAGCAGGGCTGCTGGGGCCTAGGGGAGCTT